AGGTGTGGTAAGTAAAGAATGTCACCTTCTGACAGCCCCGGAGCCCCAAGTTTATCTTGGAAACTGAAGAGGAGAGGGATTTACCCAGCTCATATTTATTTGATGGTACAAATCCATGGCTGGGCTTGGCTTTAAAAAAGTCTTATCTGACATTCCTTCTATGGAACAAAGTTCCCTCAAAACTAACTTGAAAGCCTATGTAAAAGAATAATTATCCTTGCTGTGCTATATACAAATAATCAGGCCAAGTATAATAAAGCAAATCAATCCTACCATGATCTGTCTTTAGTAAAACTGGGAAACTGGAGACAGAAAAATTATGTTTGAAAAACTATAGTACACCTGTTATTGAATTCTACTCTTGCCTAATGTTTTCCAATTTTTACTATTTTCTACAGTTGTAACTGAATTCTAATTTTTCATGGCTACAAGCCTGCAAGATAATGTGTTCAATTTTTTTCTTTTTTCCACCTTTTTCCTAATTTGGAGTCACAAAAACTCAGCTGTGCTTTGGTAAAGCCCTGCAAACTGAAGCTAGACAATTTAAACTTCAGAAGAAAATAACAGCAACCTATTTACATACATAAGCCACCTTCATAACTGCCTACTGATGTATGAACTTCAGAGTAATGTGGCCTATATTGATTTTCCATGATGGTTCTTTTGTTTGTTATTGTTCTCCCTTACTGTCCCTATTTTCTCTTCATAAGACATGAGACTGCAACCTGCCAAAAATGAACTTTCCTAATAATGTTGGACCTACCTGTCTAGAAGAAACCATCCTAGTCATAAGAGATCAGACAAAACCTGAAACCAGAGACTCATTTTTTTCCTAAAATGCTTTCACCAAAGGATTTTAAAACAGAAATGGGGGAAAATGTGAAAGGAAAATAAATCTTGTGGTCCCCAGATCAATAATCTAAAGAGAAAAGTCAAGCTGGGAACTGCTAAGGGCAAAACTGCCTCTCATTCTCTTCAAAGTCACCCCTCTGCTCACTGAGATAAATGCATATCTGATTGTCTCATTTTGAGAGGCTAATCATAAACTCAAAATAACATAACAATTTGTCTCTTACCCACATATGACCTGGAAACCCTCTCTCTGCTTTGAGTTGTCCAGCTTTCACCTCCAGTTGTCCCACATTTCTGGATTGAACCAATGTACATCTTACACATATTGGTTGATGTCTCATTGTCAGAGCATTTGAACCAAAATAACTTCATCTTGAGGGAGGGCTAGGAAAATGAGGCTGGGACTCACTGGACTGCATTCCCAGAAAGTTAGGCATTTCTATCCTCTAGACGTTTATGGTTAAGGGAACAGATAAATAACATTTACTAAACAGACCCAGACCTAGGAGTGTCCTCATATCCCCATAAGCTTGGTAACAGAAGCATTCCTAATTTTGCTTTAACGATAACATCTGTTCCTGCAAAATATGGTAATTTAGAAAATTAATCCTTTATCACAAATCCCATAATCTTTTTTTATCCTATATATAAACAAGTACTGTACCTAAGGTGAACTCTAAGCAGAGGCTTTCTTGAAACCAAGGAGACAGCCCTGATGATGTACTAATCATCTACAGGGTCATTCTTCCTCTGTCTTGAATAGCATGTTTGTAACTGAGTTACTCTATGCTTCTGTCCTGTAAAATCTAAGAAGTCCAACAGCCTTCCTTCATTTTATTCCATTTTCTCTGTTTACTTTAATTCCAGCTGGCAGTGTTTCTGGTGTGTAAGCTGTATTCTGTTGTGATGGCTGATTAGGTCCATGATTCACACCCACACTAATCTTATCTAATAGCCTGGCACACCATAATGCCCTCTTCCAAACATGCTAATTTTTTTTGTCTTTTTAATTTTATGTTTAGCACCAGAGCAGTCACACTGGAAAACATGCTAAGTTTTTTGCTGTGTAATATGGATAGGCTGAGAATTTTTCCCATCTGTAATTTCTACTACTTTTTTGCATACAAATTTCATCTTCATTTATTTTTTCTTACATGTTACCATAAGCAGCCAGGATGAATAAAGCCACTCCTTCAACACTTGTCTTAGAAACCTCTTCAGCAGTAAAAGCCATATATGACAGCCCCCCAGCTAGTATCTTACTGAACGGAGAAAAAGTGAAAGCCTTTCCTTTGAAATCTGGAACACAAAAAGGATGCCCACTTTCACCATTGTTATTCAATGTGGTACTGGAAATCCTAGCTAGAGCAATCAGACAAAAGAAAATAAAGGGCATCTAAATTGGAAAGAAGTCAAATTATACTTGCTTTCAGATGATACGATCTTATATTTAGAAAAACCTAGACTCCATCAAAAAAAAAAATTAGAACCGATAATCACATTCAGCAAAGTTGCAGGATACAATATTAACATATGAAAATCAGTGGCATTTCTACATGCCAACAGTGAGCAATCAAAAAAGAAATTTAAAAAGTAATTGCCGGGCGCGGTGGCTCAAGCCTGTAATCCCAGCACTTTGGGAGGCCGAGGCGGGTGGATCACGAGGTCAAGAGATCGAGACCATCCCGGTCAACATGGTGAAACCCCGTCTCTACTAAAAATACAAAAATTAGCTGGGCATGGTGGCGCAG